CTTCATTAAATCTGAGTCAGGACTAAAATCCGTAACATTCACTTCAATAGGAATGAAATTATGATCACAGGAGGATTTGCAATAAAAGGTACCTGAAAAAAAAGTATTTTCATATATTTAAATTTCACTACTTGAAACATTGCAAAAACATCTCTGGAGAGATAAAATCTACTAAGACAAAATTGTAAATTTGTTCTTGGAAAAAATGTTATGAAAAATATTTTCATAACTTGGTACAACTGATAGCTATTTAAAAACAGTTTCTTACTGGAAAAAGGTCTCATTGGTTTTAGTCACATACATTTTGTACCTTTAAGAACAAACAGAATAGAATTTATATTCTATATCTAAATTTTAATGTGCTATGTCTTTTATATAATTTAATAGTATTATTTACTACAAATCTCACGGCTATAAAGTGCAGTTCAGGTCTCTTGTGCATCATTTTTTAAACAGAAACAGATGCCTCTTTAGTAATAATAAAAAAGTGAACATTGTCTGATAGTTCCATTCTGCCACTTACAGAGTTTCGCTGTATAAAGAGCAGAAGCATCATATTCACTGCTGCTTTTGAAAGCACTTTACCATTCAAATTAACTGAAAATTAATTTCAGGGCTCTTGTGAGAGCTCTGCGTTAATGTAAGTCAGCTCATTGTGTTGCTTTACTTCTCATTCAAACTACCATGAGTTTTTTCTCCACAGTTCTAACAGCATCAGCTATGTTGGCTGGTCAAAGCAAATAAAATAACAGAACAACACAGTGACAGTTGAAAGAAAGAAAAACAGAGCTGGAATATTTCTGTGAGTAAGGACATGTATTGCAGCCCCTAGGAAGGTTTCTGAGATTCCTCCCCCCTAGAATGCATTATTGGATTCACGTGGAATGAATGACTGATGATGCTTCCCCCTCATTCCCTTACATGCTCACAACTCATTAGAACTGTGAAACTAGTTCAACCATCTATCTTAAATCTCAACAGCTAGATTCCTAAAACTATTTTCAGAGTAACTGATTTTCTCACCTACCGGGTATTCACTTGTCACTTGTGTGAAAGGATATCAACCTGACTGATGCAGCCCTGCCTATAGAACTGCACCTTTTTCTCTGTGACTCATTTTATACACTTGGATGGTTTTACTACAGTGACTCCGATTTTCCAGTACATTCAGTACATCTGCAGTCACATCAGGAATGGATGTCATAATAGTTTCTCCATAGTGGTAACATGCACTTAATTTGCAATGTTTGTGGAGGAAAAAATCTAAACAAAGAGGTAAATATCAGCAGTGACACATGAACAAATACATATCCACTAGATAATCCCAATTATAACTAATAAATATTTTTCAGGAAAGCTGGTAATTCTCCCCAGAATAAATGCTCTGGATTCTAACTAGAAGATCAGTCAAGCATACGTTCTCCAACAGAGCTTGGAAAGGTATGTGAGGTTCAAAAATTTTTTGGAGGAGTGATAATTTTCAATTCAGAACATGTGGAGGATATAGAGTATTTAGTCACAATCAGACAAAAATAATCAAGAGAAAATTTTGTTTTGGATTGGGTGATGCTGTGCTAAAACAAGCAGGTTTAAACATAAACATAGCAGCCAGACCTTATTTTTTATAAACACAAGAAATAACTAAAGCCCCAGAAGAGAATCACATCATCACACAAAATAAATTATATGCAAGGCATATGTGGGCAGGGAGAGTTTCACTGCACTTAATCTGGAGGCTTTAGTCCCCAAAAGAAACCACAAAGTTGAGGCATAAGGAGCCATATGCCAAGGACATGCTCTGGGAATTTCCAGGAACTGGGCCCTGAGAAAGGCACAAAGAGCACTTTGGGCTGAGCACTAGGTAAAAAGGGATTGGAACAGTGAACTGACCCCTGCTGTTTGGTTCTACTGCGTTCAGAGAAGTAAATTCTTTCAAATATACAAACTGCAGAAAGAAATATTCAACTACAGCATAATTTACTTCTGTAGGAGAAACAGCCTAGTGAACCTGGACTCTCACTTTTTTCAGTCATAGAGGAATCACATTAGAACCATTCTTTTAAATGAAAAAAGTCAAAATATTCTCTATAGTCTATCATTCTACATGAAAACTATTCATATCCAAGCATCATGCACAATAGTTAATGCAAAAATGAATTAAAAATGCCCTTTGTTTTATACAACAGGGTGTCGTAACTGCCAATAAGCAGTCTGGGTCTCCACAGTCTGCCAGGTAGTAGCAGTGAATCTCACAAATGGCTGTAGATATTTTGCCCCAGCAAGAAATAGCAAGCTTTCACTGTGTACTTCCCTGTAATTTATGCAGTTCACTACCAGATAGACACAAATCCTACCATACAGATCATGGAAGACTCATTAACCAGGAACTATTCTAAGAAACTTCTTCTCAGCAGTATTAAATATATGATTTTAGCCAGAAGATATCCTGAAACCTGAAAATTTCAGAAGTCAGCAATCTCTTCTGGCTTGATCTAAAAATTCAGCTGTCTAGATTTGGTGGGGTTTTTGAACATTTTGGCCAGCTATAATTTATCAATATTTAATAGGGATACTTATACCTTGTATTCAGTTCGTGTACCACACATGCATGAAACCCAGGTCTCTAACACCCTGTTGCTTTTCAGAATTGTACCACATTCTGTGCCCAGTGTGAGTGTGCTCAATTAATGATACACTAGTCACTCATTGCTGGTTACTCTTACTGTTCAATGTACAACCCCTTAGCATACTTATGTATTCATGCTACAGCCTCTTAGCTTATTTGTTATTTGAACCTGCCATGAAGATGAATTATTGTACTCCCAATTCCTATGATGTTCATCCCTATGATACCAAAGACATCAACATACATATGGTTACAACATTCCTGTGAACTAAAAGGACAATTTTATTCCCATTTTACAAAGGGAAGTTGAAGCATGGGGAAAAAAATATGCATTTTTATAACAACTTGCTTATGGTTCCCATTGGAGAGATCCATTAGATCTAATTTTTCAGCATATTTAGCATGTATTTATATCATAGTTAAAACACAGCTCCCAGTGGCTTTCACTACAGCAACTTGCTCAAAATCCCATAGTAACCCTACAAAAGACTTGTGGATAGCATTCAAGTTTCCTGGAAAGCATTCAATTGCCTTCAACAAGACACAATCCGTCTTTGTATGCTTCCCCACCTCAGCCGTTACAAATGGTCCCATAGGTGAAGGTAGATACGGACAACAGTTTCCTTTACTTCATGACTTCTCAAAACATGCCCTAACAGATGGAGAGAATCTAACTGGTAAAAAGACTTGGGCCAATAATTTAAGGCTACATCATTATGCATATTCGGAAAGTGCAAGGAGGTAACCCAGCATATACAAACAATCATCTTAACTGTAGCATTAACTAACATTCAAAGATACACTGTATAACCTCACTGATCTTTAAGGTAGTTTTGAGTGTCTAACTTCTTAGATTTTTTTTAAACAAATTTGAAAAACAATTTTCATCATAACATTTCTTCTTGTTTATTGTCACCCAGAAGTCATTAACAAAGTTAGAACTGATGGACTGTACAAGCCTCTGTTACTTAGGCTCACGGGATGACGCATATCAACAGTAAAGTCTCAGATGCTAGCAAGAGAACTCCAGCAATGGGGTCAATAAGAAAAAAGAGTCAGGCCTGCCGCTCTCAGGTCTGATCTCACCTATATTTGGATCTAGAGAACAGAGCAGCAATTCTGAGGAGATGGAAATGCCTTGTATTTAGAGAGTGGCTGGAAAGCTGCCTGGCAGAAAAGGATCTGGGAGTGGTGTTTGACATCCAGCTGAATATGAGCCAGCAGTGTGCCTAGGTGGCCATGAAAGCCAACAGCATCCTGGCTTGTATCAGAAATAAGTGTGGCCTACAGGACTAGAGAAGTGATGGTCCCCCCGTACTTGGCACTGGTAAGGCTGCACCTTGAGTGTTCAGTTTCGGGGCCCTCACTACAAGAAAGACATTGAGGTGCTTGAGCATGTCCAAAGAAGGGCAACAAAGCTGGTGAAGGGTCTAGAGCACAAGTCTTATGAGGAGTTGCTGAGGGAACTGAGGTTGTTTAGCCTGGAGAAAAGGAGGCTGAGGGGAGACCTTACCGCTCTCTACAACTACCTGAAAGGAGGGTGTAGCCAGGTGGGGGTCAGTCTCTTCTCCCAGGTAGCAAGTGGATGAGAGGAAATGGCCTCAAGTTGCAAGGGGAGACTTAGACAGGATATTAGGAAAAATTTCTTCACTGAAAGGGTTATGAAGCATTGGAACAGGCTGCCCAGGGAAGTGGTTGAGTCACCATCCCTAGAGGTATTTAAAAAACACATAGATGTGGTGCTTAGGACATGGTTTAGTGGTGAACTTGGTAGTGTTAGGTTGGTGGTTGGACTGGAAGATCTTAATGGTCTTTTCTAACCTAAATGATTCAATGATTCTATGAGTGGATGTATACAAACCACAATTTTTGAAAAGTATACCTCTCAATCAGTTCTCGACTCATTTTTACAGCAAGGAAAAAGGAGATACACTTGAAATTTGGCCTGTGTATCAGGTTCCTGCTCCATATCAATAACAAACCTGTATAACAATCAGGATTATCCTGTATAACAATCAGGATAAATACAGGATAACAATCCTGTATGTACTAGAGCTTAGCAAAGAAAAAGTCAGCAGAATGTTTTTAAAGGGCATATTACTTTTCTCCTACCTTCTTTCCTTGAAACAGCTCAGAATTTTTGATGCAAAACAAAAAAGCCTCAAATCAATACAAGTCTGAAAAAAATTCAGCCTAACCAATTAAAGCACAGCAAAACTATAACCAACTGACAACCAGACTTTATCATAGCAATGTGAAGGAACTTAATAACAGAAATAATAATTTTATCCTAGAGCTTTTCCTACAAAATAAAAAATACATTATTAAATAGAAACTCATAAGCATAGTGTAACAGTTAAGAATGGAAACATACACTGCTTTCCTTTTTCTTGGTGTGGTGAGAAGCATACTCTTGTAGTGGTGTCATTTTCAGTTTTGTTTTGGAATTGAGAGCACTTCAGGAATTCTGGCCAAGAAGCATTTACCATACCCAAGACCGGTTCACAGCCTTCTTTTGCTGCCTCACAAAATGTCCTGCAGGGCAAGAGGCCTCGACTGGAGAAAAGAGAGAACAAAAATACAAAGGATTATTACTCTAGTAGATTGTGAAAACTTTTTTAAAAAAGAAAAAAGTAATAATAAACGCTTTTGAAGAATTTTATATTCTACAGAGCTACACCAAAAAGGTGCCAAATCTTCATTATTCGTTGGAGGTGACATCAGCTCTGGCTTTCAAGCTAAATTTAAGCCCAAATCAAGCCCAGAACAGTTTCTAAGTTCATCTCTGTACAAGCTGAAGCTGAGATTTCATCAACAGTTGAACCAATATAATGGTGTAGTGACAACACACAGGAGAAAGCTTGCTTCTTCATCTTCTCCTTCTTCCCTACAATTGTGCAGACCTACCCATCTCTGACTTTGGCAAACACTTTCATGACCATATAAAAAAACCATCAGCTTGGAAAAAAACTTTTCGCATTTTTGAACATGTATTTTAAACATTGCATATTTTAGAAATTCATCATTTTGTTCTCCTGAATGACAAACAGAAAAGATCTCACTCACATTTAAAACAGTTCAAGTTTTCTCAGGCATAATTAAAATTGGGACACTTATTCCTAAGAATATAATGAAAAAATGTAACCCTGGCTCTGACTTGCAAGTAAAATGTTATTTTTTTGAAAGCATTATTATGCATTGCTGGCTTTGCTTTATTACAAAATATGACATAAATTGTAAGTTTTTACTTAGCTTGAAATCAATGTTTTGTCATTCAGGAGAAAAGAATGATGAATTTCTAAAATATGCAATATTTAAAATATGATTAGCATGTTAACTTGATGTGTATTTATTATATTCTTAATGAGGATACCTCTGACTTCATAATATTTTATTCTTTTATATATATATTTAAACAGTGAACACCAAGACTGAGAAGGCATGTCTTGGTTTTTATTCATTTTCTTTATTTTCTTTTCTGATTTAGAAATACAGTTGTGAATGTTCACTGTCTTCACAATCTATAACTTCAGGGTCATCTGCTGAGATTATCTTGATTTACAGTGCTGTTGATAATTAGACAGTTACTTGTATCTAAACAGTTATATCCTTTATCATAATTGTGAGCTGCCACCACCATTACCATACATGACTTTTTTTCTTATCATGACCATTAAATTCCAGAAGGATTCCATAGAGGAAGTGATATTATTGAAGTGAATTTCAGCTAAACAAACATTACATTGACCTGGAAGGTGATTTGGTACAATATTTTGAAATGAAACAAAACTGCTTGAAGTGGAACATGTCAACCAACTCTCAATGGAAGGAACAACATGTACAGAGACCTCGAAATACATGTAGTTGTTAAGTATGGCTCTCTTAGAGAAACAGCTGTATACATTCAGAAACGCTTGAGAGAACTTCACCCATACAAGTCCACGGGACCCAAGAGCCTGCATCCATAGGTGCTGAGCCATCTGTCCAGTGCTCTTGCAAGGCCTATCTCTGTCATCTCAGAAAGGTCATGGACATCAGTGGAGGTTGCTCGCAACTAGAAAAAGGCAAACGTTGCACCCATCTTCAAAAAAAGGCCAAAAAGGTCAAGCTGGGTAAATTCAAGCTGGTCAGCCTGATTTAGTCTCAAGGAAAATCACAGAGGCACTCCTCCTTGAACACATTTCTGGGCACAGGAAGATGATGACCAGGAATAATCAGCATAGGTTTATCAAGGGTAAATCACGGCTGACCAGCCTGATATTGCCTGTTATGATAAAATAATTAGATACGTAGTACTGGGACTTGTCCTGTTTGACATCTTTATCAAGGACCTGGAAGAGGTGACCAAGTGTGCTTTTGTCAAGTTTGCAGATGACACCAAACTGTGAGAGGCAATCAATATACTTGATGGTAGAGCTGCCATTCAGAGGGACCCTGACAGGCTGGAAGAATGGGCCAAGAGAAATTTTATGAAATTTAGCAAGGATGAATACTGCACTTGGGAAGAAAGAAACCACTGTAATGATACAGGCTAGATATTGACTGACTAGGAAGCAACTCTGCTGAAAACAACCTGGGGGTCTTGGTAGACAGCAAGCTGGGCATAAGCCAGCAGTGTGTCCTGGCAGCAAAGCAGGCCAACAGTATCCTGGCCTGTATCACATTAGCACACATATAATGGGAAAGGATTGTCCCCCTCTGCTCAGCACTTGCTAGACTGTATGTGAATACTGTGTCCAGTTTTGGCTGCTCCAGTAGAGGAAAGACACTGATAAACAGCAGCAAATCCAGGGGAGGGCCACCAAGCTGGTCAGCGGCTGGAACACTCACCTGTAGGACAGACTGAGGGAACTGAGCTCCTTCAGCCAGAATAAGAGATCGCTTTGGGGTAACATCAACCACTATACCCTTCAGGACCCATGGGGAGGTTATGGAGTCCAGCTATTCACAGTGGTGTATGGTGGGAGGATGAGAGACAACTGACATAAGCTGAAACAAGAGATGTTCAGACAGAATATAAAGAACTTTTTCAGCATGAAATTAGTCAGGGAGTGAAACAGGTTATCCAGAGAATTTGTGTGGTCTCCATCCTTGCATGTTTTCAAGACATAACTAGATAAAGCCCTGAATGCATATCAATGTACTCCACTGAAGAGACAAGGAATATCATTATAACAATGAATAGTTTCAGTAAAATGAAATTATTTGCTGTTTGAGCTATTTAAATTTGGTCTGTTGAGGGAAATTCCTATAGAAAATGAGAACAAAACTGAAAGAAATATCACAAACTAACATAAAATTAGTTGAACTGAATATACTGAAATTTTTCATAATTTGGGCAAACTGCAAATTATTGATGGTACTGGAATTTGGAAAGAACTTGAAGAACTATTACAGAAGTTGTTACCCAAAAGAAAATAAATTGTCTAGTCAAGAACAATTCAGTATTCTGATAGATATTTGGTTTGAAATTTCAGAAATAAATATATATAAATACACAAACACACATACACAGACACTCCTAAATATTATCTATATATTAAAGTAGATTATAGTAAGTCTAGTCATTAATGAAAGTTGTCATACTTGAAATAGCTAATTTATTGCAAAAATACAAATGCATGACTCTGAATCCTTACCATATTCTTTACTGTAAGGACACGCAGTCTCCTTAGTGTTTGAGAGGGAACAAAGGGCTATTTAGAGAAATAAGTCAATCTGTCACTCAGGTTTGCATCTTGGGGATCATTGTCAACCTGCACTTTGTTCTGTGTCTTCACATTGAGGCCACATTTAGATCCCACATACCACATCTAACATGTTTTCTCCCATACCTGCACACTGATTAAATTTTCAGCACAACTTTTTTCAGTTTATATCTAAATTTCTGCAGAACATTTTGGGCTTTAGCAAATGCAGTTTTGCTTCATTCATAACCATTCATAATACCATAAAAAAGATCTTTTTCCTAGTATACCACTTAGATCATATCACTTTTCTCTTTGTGTGTGACTCTTGGTTGTACCTGCCCACCCCAAAAATGTTGCTAGAACTCCATGTTCAGGCAAAAGTAAGTGACCTGAACTGAAAAAGTCCACAGTACTCAACAGTTCCCTTACTTAATGTTTCATTTTACAGTAAGAGAGAAAAACACATTATTAGCAACCATGTGATACAGCAGCAAACACTGCAAGCAAGGAATAAAAACTGCCAGCACTGCCTACTAGTGGAAGCATGAAGAAATTTGTGTAAAGCGAAATATTCTCTTGCATAAGTGTTCTGAAGTCAGTATAGTTGCCCTTCTCTGCTTAGTGTCTAGCAAGAGGAATGTGCTGCCAGTGTTGTTACTGAGTTTGTTACATACTCTAGCTGGAACCACTGTTTCAAAACAGGTATCTTTAGAGATACATTCTCCAGGTAATGCTAAGGACTTTTACACAACGCACTTTACATGCTGCAGTACTGAACTTATCTCAGAAACAAGCCAAGGACCTTTATCTCTAAAATTGTCTCTTACAGCTTCCTAGTTGGCAGCTTACTTATTGCCTGGAAAGAAGCAGATATATTCTAAAATAGTACTTTTCACCACCAGATTGTCATGTGTTGAAAGGCAGAAAATTTCAGCACCATAAAGCACATATCTGGCTGTATACAAAAGAACAAATGGTCCCTTACTGACGACAAGAAGAGCTGCCACTTATTAGTTCTGCACATTGTATTGGCAAATTCAGTCATCTGACCTGTAATGGCTCTTCAGATAAAGATGTTCTAAAACACTCTTCTGTTTTTTATAAAACCGATTTGATATGGAGAGGAAGAAAGAGCACAGCAAGCACTCTGCAGTAGCCATCACTGCCTCCTGACCGGAGCCTGAGAAACTCCCTAAATACAGGGGATTTGGTAAGGCAAGTGACTGTCACCAATCACTTTCATTTAGAGCTTTGGATGGGTTTTAGCTTTTCATTTTTAACTGATCTACTACTTCTAAAAAGTTATATTAGCATAATCACATGTGGGGAGAGGTATTCACATGGGTTGACCCACTGGTTTAACAGGGGCTCCTTATTACAGAAAAAGAAAAGCCACTAGTTATGGAAGGTGCTTGAGTTCCAAAATATCTGTCAGAAATAAGATGTTACATAACTAAAATGAAGTATTGATTTGATTTATTTGTGGATGCTAGCCATTTATTCAGACTGATATGCTTAGAGTTAACTTTTTGTTTATTTTTTAGGAAAACACACAATACAAAATTACATTACAGTGAAAAGTAATGTAAGCAGTGATTCTACCTCATTGACTGTAAATGGTTCCCACTGGACCAATGGAGCATACCTGATGATCACAAATAGTAATTTGAAGGCAGTACATTCTGCTTTTTTTTTTTTCCAAAGATGTGATAGCAAGGACATGACTTGAATTTAAGAAGTCTGTGACTGAGCCCCACTTGAGTTTAGCACGGCTAAGCAAATTTATACTGTTCTTACGATTTGTACAAATGTGACTGCATTTAAAAAACCAAACCAAAACAAACCACAAAAAGAAACCCAAAACAA